ACCAGAAAAAGTGGTCATCCGGCCTATAGTGCAGTGGTCGGGGAGTCTGAAGGACTCATCAAAACACAGCCGCCAGCAGTCGAAGCCACCTCCCACCTGGCGATTCAACTCTGAAACTTTTGTTTAATTATGAAGGGAACCGGCTGGTCCCGGGATTTGTGTGGCCCATTTCTCCCTGCTTAGAATGGATACCTTATATTTTAAGGTGGGATGATCAACAGGTGTACAGTAGTCTGTAGCCCTCGTAGACGTGCAATGATGTAGGTCCAACTTGGTATGTCCATAGTTGGTCCTTTTCCATACACTCGTCCCGCGTAGCCTAAGGCTGCAAACATAGTGCGCGCTGAGACTAAGACGAGGATGAAGACGAAGCTGAAGACGAAAAACAGTACAGAACAATTCATATGAATTCGCTCGCCCGCAAACATAGTGCGCGCTGAGACGAAGACGAAGATGAAGACGAAACGCAAGCGTTCAGCTTCAAACGGTGCGGTACTGTTTTTGAAGACGAATCGCTTGCTATTTTGCTTTGTTCCTTTTGTTAATTGGGGTATATTTGGGGTTTTATTAAAATTTGTCCAATTTTTAATAAATAGCGGTTCAATTTTTAACAGAATGTAATAAAATGTGCTGATTTTCATTCTGGTATACTCCACAAATTTTTTTTCATCTTGTCGCAGCTCATTAAATAATTGATGAAATCCGCCGAATACTTTTCTTCCCAAATTAAATGGGTGAATTCCTTCATTCACTGTTTTCTTTCGTTTTAATTTTAAAAATAAACTTTCCTCTAACAGTAGCTCATCATCTGAAGAGAAATCCATTGCGACTAACATCACAAAATCGCAACAAATTCGTCTTGCACTATGCAACCTATAAGCATACTCGCATCGCAAGGAATTCATCTTCAGCTTCGTCTTCATCTTCGTCTTCGTCTCAGCGCGCACTATGTTTGCAGCCTAATTGCCGATAGCGTGGCTATTTGACCCCCAATCTCTACAGGTTATAGGGCATTTGTCGGTGTGGTATATAGGCTGCCTGTAATGCATACCTCTGACCACGACCCCGCAGAAAAGGATGGGTCTTATGACCGCTGTGTAAAGCCATCTGACTATCTAAGGGGACATTCCCCATTTGAGGCCAATGTCTTTTCGAAATGTATAGAGCACGATTGTTCCCTTGTTAGCTCTATCCATAGTGTTTGACTTCCAGTCCAGTTTCCTATCTATCGTAATCCCTAGGTACTTGGCGCTATCGCTGAGGGAGAGTGTTTCCCTTGATAGTTTTGGAAGCCTTAAATTTGCTATTTTGTACTTCCTAGTGAAGAGGACAAACTCGGTTTTGGATAGGTTTACATGCGGTCGCATAGAGTCTGGGGAAATTTCCCAGAGAAGGCAATTGCGACATCATCCGCATAAGCGATAACCTTGCAACCACCACCTTCTAGGGATCGTAGTAGACTATTAACCGCCACGTTCCACAGAGCCTCTTCTGATGTATCTTTGAATAGATTGTCCTTCTAATGACGCCTCAACAGTCCTATTTACCAAAATCTGCTTTATAAGGCGTACGGAATGATCGTCTATTTCTAGTACCGTCAGCGCATTGATTATCGAGCATGGCAGGATGTTGTTGAACGCGCCTTCGATGTCTAGGAAACACTGAGTGCGTATTCCTTCTCACTAAGTGCCTTTTCGACAAACGTAGTGATCTCGTGGAGTGCCGTCTCCGTGGATCGGCCCTTCCTATACGCATGCTGTAATCGCGAGATATCATCTGCGTTGATGCGTAAGATTAATGTGGAGGCTGATTAGTTTCTCCATTGTCTTGAGGAGGAAGGACGACAGGCTTATAGTTCTGAAGTCCTTAGGGGTGCAGTATGATGGCTTTTCCGCTTTGGGTATGAATACGACCTTCGTCCGAAACCACTTTGCGGGCACGAAGCCTATTCTGAAAATTGCTGAGAAAGCTTTCCTGACCCGTGACATCAGATTGGGTCCGGCTTTGATTAGTTGTGCCGGGACAATGCCATCTTGGTTGGGGATTTGAAGGGCTTGAAGCTGTTTATCGCCCATCTGAGATACCTATAACTCAATAGGAATTCAAGTTGGTTTGGGAGGGGCTGTTCCCCTGTCTCTGCGTTTATGGGGTTGTTTCTTTTTGAGAGAACGCCGGGAAATGTGCATTTGTGAGAGCCTCTAGTGTTTCTTTACTGGAAGTGGTCTAGCTATCTTCCAAAGTTTTAATGTATCCTACACTTGGTGCAGTTGTTGCGAGGACCTTCCTGAGTCGGGAGGCCTCCGATGTCTGTTGAATGTTCGAGTAGAACTTGGTCCAAGCATTCCTCTTTGCCCTGCGCAGTTCTTTGTTGTACTTCCTGAGGTCCACTTTGTACGCCTCCCACGCTATCTCCGTGTTTGCCTTAATGGCGAGATTAAAGGCTTTGTGGGCCCTGGTCTTTAAGGGCGCAAGTGTTTGCGACCATCATGATGGATTCTTTGACTTGCAACTGTCCGATCTGCTATTGGGATCTGCCACGTCCCTTGTAGGAGGCTTCTCCAAGGATCTATCAAATTTGTTCTTATATAACTCCCAGTTTCTTTTTTCGGGTTGCGTACTGTTAGTCGATTAAAGTTTTCGAAATGAATCACTTATTCTATGTATCGATGGTCCGAGAAAGAGTGTTTCTCTAGGACTCCCCATCTAACAATCCTGTCAGATAGGGAGTCAGAGTAGAGAGCAATGTCAAGTACTTCCCTTCTTTTCTTGACTATTAAGATGGGTTCTGTACCTCTATTACCCACCAGAAGATTGAAGCCTAGGATAAAATGGAAAATTGACTCACCCCTCTCGTTCGGGTCAGTGCTTCCCCACTGATGATGATGGGCGTTGGCATCTCAACCTATGATCAGGTCGATCTTTTGCTTCCCGTTGTCTTCCACCAGCTCTTTGAGTAGCGGGTACTGGGGGATCGCGTCTAGGTCGTGGCTCATGTACTCCGAGTATACCCTTAGTGACCCCTTCGATATTGCTGCGGCTACATAATCTTCATTGCTGAAATAAGGTAGCAAAGAGAGGTTAAGATTTTTTTATGCGAGGATGCAGGCTCGGCTTTTACCTATTGTATCGGCTTTGTAGAGCCTATACTCCGACGCTTTCAACCCAAGAATTCTGTCTCCGAGGATCCAGGGTTTCTGGATAAGGGCCACATCAGCTCCACTCTCAGCGAGGTGGAGTAGGAGGGCATCTGACGCCGCGTTACTGTGGTGGAGGTTTATCTGTAAGATTGTCAAAGACATTCTTACGATTCTGCACCACAGTAACCTCTGCCTTGGTCTCGGAGCTCAACAGAGAGTCCTCCACTATCCCGACGCCTCTAAGTGCCCTTGCCAAGTCGCACATTTCTGAGGTGTTTCTTTCCAGGATGTCCTCTTCCTAATCTGACATTTCTCTGGGTGCCCCTCTTCGGTGGGCTCCTCCAAGTCTTGCTCTTGCGCGTCTGCCTCTAGATTTATAGATATGGACCGAACTTTATCCGGTGCTCTGACCTTTCCAGGACTTTCACGGTCTCCTCGTTGAGCGTGAGGACGACATGCCTCCGCAGTCCTATCGCCTCCTCGACCTTGGCGACTCTCCAGTCCGCGGTGGGAAGCGTCGCATTGCACATCCCAAGCATCGACAGGATTGTTTTAGGGTCGGCTGGCTTTTCTGTGAGCCAAGGCAATTACCTTGATGCTGATACCATCCTGCGTCTTCGCATTCTGGTGGGGGTCCTCCGCTCTGTCCTCTGCTGATATCTGTCTTTTCGCGCTTTGCGCTATCTCCTTGGCAGGATCTGACCCAGCGAGTTTCTTCGGCTCTTGCCTTACACCCGCCTTTTCCGGTTTGAAGTCGGGCAGTATCTCTCTTGCCCACTTTTTAAGCTCGGCCTGGTCCGGGTTGGCTACGGCCGATGGGTCCGCCCTCATTTGGATGAAGGCTGCTCTCCTCCAAAAGATCCTTCATGATTACATTGTTACATATTTGTTAATTGCAATTCACTGGCTTGCCTGGGTGATGCTAAAAACACTAGCAGCCAGCTAGTCCAGCAGCTTGATAGCCGCGGAATAGGAGGAATATCCACGCCGATATTAGCTAAAAGGAACGGCTCAAAACGTTCCCAGAAAGCGTTGCATTTTTCAGTAGCTAGCAAATCGAAGTGTTCCATAGTTCCAACTATGCATAGTTGCATAGTTCCATAGCCTTGACAACTCTGCAGTCATAGAACACCGCTTTTTCCGTATGAGACCTAGGAGCAGTATTTGTCTCAACTGTACATCCGCTCACAGAGAGACCACCTCGTGGAAATAAATGAAAAAAGAAGCTTAAAATGTAAAATGTATAAAAGAATAAGAATAAGATGTGTCCTTTAAGAGGCCTAAACCAGTTAAGATTAAAAACTTTAACGCGATTGCTTCGAGCTCTGTCCTTCTCCATCACTTTTTAAAATAAGAAACAGATCCAATTTTACAAATACAAATACCATTTTTATACGGATATTTTTTTGTACAGGGGATTTATAATATTTGTCAAAAGTGTGCAATAACTGAAGGAAACATTTCTGACCCTTTAAAGTACATATATACTATAGGTATATACATATATACTAAAGCTATTAAGTTAAAAGTTTGCCAATACCCTTCTTTAATTATAACTTATTGATCGGAAATAACCTAACTTTGGTGTTTTTTGAGTAAGAGAATTCTCTTAAGAGAGATATAGATTGAGAGTAAGAGAATTGAGAAAGAAGATTTTCCTCGGAATCTATTCGTGTTTGTTGATTCGGCATATTAAATATCATAAGGATCCGCCAACTATATCATTTATTAAAACTTTATCAAATTTGGTATTTTTTATTTTGTTTTTATATATAATTTTTTTAACTGATATATATTAATTGAATTCCTTTTAGTATATATATATGTAGAGAGTGGCTAATATTTAATTGACTGAATTTTCAGGAAATTGTTTAAATGGATCGGTCGGAAATTCTACAAGAACCTACTTTTCAAGAGGATACTATAAAGAAAATGGAACACAGTCAAACATCTCATAGAACAAATCACGTAGGTATTATACAAAATTTAACAAATAAAACCAACTAATTTACCGTTTATGCTATTATATGACTGCTATATTATTATACTTTTAAAATCCCAATCTTTAAACCACTGAAATTGGATCGTTTCCGATAGTATTGTTAAATAATTATTAAATAAAGGTAAAACATTTAAACTAGCTCAAAATGTAATCTCCAAAAAACTCCAACCTTCTAACTTTAAAAACAAGGTTTGGTCTTATCGTTTTTTATTTCCGATCATTCAGCTCTACAGCGACCAAAACACAATAACTAAAAGTATTTCCGTCATTGAAATTTCGTCAATTTTTTTGTAACCTTTACTGTTTTTAAAAATAAATAACTTGTTATACCCTTGCAGAGGGTATTATAATTTTGGTCAAAAGTGTGCAACGCAGTGAAGGAGACATCTCCGACCCTATAAAGTATATATATTCTTTATCAGGATCACGTCCTGAGTTGATATGAGCATGTCCGTCTGTCCGTCGGTCCGTCTGTCTGTCTGTTTCTACGCGAACTAGTCTCTCAGTTTAAAAGCTATCGACTTGAAACTTTGCACACACCCTTATTTCCTTTGCACGCAGTATATAAGTCGGAACGACCGGAATCGGCCGACTATATCCTATAGCTGCCATATAACTGATTGATCGGAAATGGTATAACTTTAGTGTTTTTGAAGTTAGAGAGTTCAAATTTTACAAGAGCGCTATTTTTGGCAAACTATTAAGACATGCCAAATTTCGTAAGGATCGGCCGACTATATCCTATAGCTGCCATATAACTGAACGATCGGAAATGACCCAACTTTCGTGTTTTTGAAAATAGAAAGCTGGAACTTGGAAATTGGATTATATATTCATATTCCCATAAGGATCGGCCAACTAGATCCGATGTTTGCGATATATATCCAGTTTTAACTGCAAGGGTATATAAACTTCGGCTCCGCCCGAAGTTAGCTTTCCTTTCTTGTTTTCTATTGTTTTTACTCAATGCATTAAACTTATGAATGCCTACAGGCAAAAACTCGTTGTATTATCGCAAAGGCAAGGATTAAGATTCCTCGCTTCCTACCTGCTGTATAGTCCATCTTCTGGATGAAGTTTAAAATGGTCTATTCCTAGTTCCATCAGGGCAGTGGATGTTCTCATGGCAAGCAGTCCCCATGGATCGGCCTTAGACGTTAGTTGTAAGCCGTAGACAGTTGAAATTGATTGTGTTTATGTCAGATGGAGGTGGAGCCTAATGAGCCTAAGATTTCTTAAGAAACATTCAAGCGTACTTATGCATCCATGGCTAACCATTTTCTGAATTTTTCTTTCCTGAGAGCAAAGTGGTCTAGTCCTTTCCTAATGTCAAAAGTTAAAAATAGGAGGATTTCTACAATTCATCGGCATCCCTCAGGTAGGAGATACGGTCGCACTTCCAGGGGTGTATACAGTTCCGGTATACGATTCCTCGCATGTTGGTCAGCATTTCGTACCCCTTGCCTCAAACTTATACCGTTGAAATAAAGCACATACCACCTACAAAAATGTATATTATTATCATTATTTTTATTTACCTAAAAAAATTTAATTTTTTTTTTTGTATGAACTTCGATTATATTTATTGAATCTTCTCTTAATTTTAAGACTAACAGTAAGTTTACATAGCTTAACATTAAAATTTTACTAACGATATGCCAAGGGTGGGTTGGTTGCTCAACCTTGTTAAACCTCTCGCCAGGTGGTTAGGGTGAAACAGTAGCATGGTAAAGTTCTTTTCCTTCTCTTTTGCGCTCACTTTTTTGAAAGGTACAATGTTTAAGTCGTTATGTATGTCGTTGCGAACGTACCACGGTGCCCCTGTGATTGTTCACAAGATCTTCTGAGCTCGCTGGAATATGTCTATACTGCTATTGCTTGCAATCCCCCATAACTAGAAGCCTTAGATCCATATAGCTCTTAGTAACGAGTTATACAGCCGGACTTTATATTCAAAGATAAAAAGAGAACTTTTGGCTTCAATGGGCTTTTTTCACTATCGACCAGACAAAGAGCTAGCCGCGCAGTTGCTTGTATCAGACATTTTGAGCAGCTAAAAATAACTGTAAGAATAGCAGCTAAGAATCATAAGCAAACGTAGAAGTTGTTAGTGGTGTGCTTGTCAAGATGTCCGCTGTCTAGAGGGCCTGTCTAGAGGGTCCATTTTCAAAAGTGAAATCATCAGTTATAGTAGTGTTGCACCTCACATAAAATTTTCTGACGTAAAGGTAAGACTCAAAAGCTTGTGAGTTTTGTATTATCTTGATCTTGTACATTAGACCTTCTAGCCAGACTTTATTAAATGCTTGGGAGACATCTAAAAATATGACGGTACAGTACTATCCGGTTGACTTGCTGAGTGCTTTTACCAAACCTAATTTGATTTGAAGGAATCCTTACAGTCTACCAAATAGATCCCATTGCATGCTTGGATTCTTGAAGTATTTATACATAAGTTTGTCAAAAAAGTCTTGCGGTATTTTCGCTATTTGGCGCTGAAAGCGCGTAGTTCTTGTTTTATTCGTCGCATCAGGTCATACTATACCTTTTACCTGGAAAGCTCATTTCACGCGCTAACACGTGTTTGATTAATTGTCTTTTCTTTTAAGTCGTTCGTGAGTTATAGCGTCGCAATTATGGAGCAAAATAAAGAGAAAATACGGCATATTTTACAGTACTACTACGATAAAGACAAATGCATCTCAAGCCGCCAATTAAATTTTTGCTTCTAATGGACCCGATACAGTTTCCATTTCCACCGCACAACGATGGTTTCAACGTTTTCGTTTTGGTGTACAGGTGGCAGCATCGGTCAAGAGCTGGGCATGAGTCATCAAACCGTTATAAGCCATTTGAAGAGGCTTGAAGTCACTAAGAAGCCCGATATATGGGTGCCACACGAATTGACGCAAAAAAACATCTTTGACCATATCGACGTATGCGAATCGGTTCTAAATCGCAACAAAATCGACCCGTTTTTGAAGAGTATGGTGACTGGCGAGGAAAAGTGGGTCACTTACGATAACGTAAGGCGCAAACGGTCGTGGTCGAAAAGCAGTGAAGCGGCCCAGACGGTGGCCAAGGCTGGATCGACGGCCCGGAAGGTTCTTCTGTGTGTTTGGTGGGATTGGCAGGGAATAATCCACTAATAATCCACTCACTTCCCTCTCTTTCTTTCAAGCGAACGGTCGTGTTTTTTTTGTGCGCACTGCGTTTTATTAAAAATATTGGTAAACCGGTGTTTACATACTTGTGAATTAAATCTTGTGAATCTTAACAATCTTAAAGCCTAAACCGTGTCGCTTCGCGAGTGCTGTGGTATATTTGGAGTCGAATTAATAATTTGTCTAAATTCTATTCCAAGCATAGCTCAGCTCTGCTTCTTCCCCGGCTTATCTATACTTCTGCATTTCTCTTTTGCACTCTTTCAAAGCTCCCGCTTCGGCTTCTTGTTTGGCACAGTGGTTCAAGGTATTGTGTTTTTTAACTTTTTAAATATTAATTTTTGTTTTATTAAATAAAAAAAAAAAATAAATAAAATGGAATTTAAACTGGTCTGTGCCATTAAGTCTTGTAACAAGACAATTTCCACATCCCAGCCTAGCATCCATTGCTGGTTATGTGAAAACGTCGTGCACGCCGAGTGTGCCGGTTTCACTGCATCAGTTTCGGATGCCATTTCCCGTAGGTCTGGGATACATTATTGTTGTGAGAATTGTCGTGCTGTGCAAGGTGAAATGAGGTCGTTCATGAGACAGACCAAAAATGGATTTAAAGAGCTGATCACTGGTTTTCGTAAAATCAATGAACAGCTCTGTGCGCTGGACACTTAGTTTAGTGGCCTTCAGCTGCTAAATGAGTCCCCTAAGCGTAAGAAATCCGCTGTTTCTGATCCGCTTCAGCCTGCTCAGCCGACATTAATGCAGCCGCTTATATCTCTGGCCACCCCAAGGGCTAGAACTGAGAAAAATTCGTCCGAATTTCTCAGGGATAATGATCAATTGTCCGATATGTCCGCCATGGCATCCCTTCAAGTGATGCCACAGGTCCTAGGGAACGAAACCCCCATTAGAGTCACCCAAAAGGGTATTCCACAGTCCGGACCACCGGCATTGACTGATGCTGCAGTACTCGTACCTGCGACACCAAACCCTTACAGGTGATTCCTCCATCGAAACATATATTTGTTTCTCGGCTTGCCCCTGATACTTCAGAGATTGATATCTCGGCTTATATCAAAGCCAAAACAAAAACCGATATAAAGGTGGAGGACATAACTAAATTTAAATATAATTCTACACGGCGCACGTCTTCTTTCAAGATTCGTGTGCCCGCGCTGATGTTCAAGACGATTTGTTCTCCCAGTTTTTGGCCAGAGAATCTTTTCGTCCAAGAACATCAGCCTAGTTCCGTGAAGAAAAAAGTTAAAAGACCAGTGGGAGTGAGACTTCCCAATATTGGAACCACTGACCAACCCTCCACCTCTTCTTTGGCTACTAACCCAAAAAACTAGTTTCCTCATTAACTCTTACCTATCAGAATACTAGGGGGCTACGTAGCAAACTCCCCAAGCTATATTCTGATAGTTCTTTCTTTGCATCCCATATAATAGCATTTACAGAAACTTGGTTAAATCCGGAGATCTTTAGCTCCGAAGTTTTTCCAAGTAAGTACACCACTTTTAGACGGTATCGATCTCAGCGAAGAGGAGGTGGAGTCCTCATTTCGGTAGACTCTACTCTTGCTTCTGAAGAGGTGAAATCCCATGAGTTTGGTGACATAGAATTTATTTGCGTTAAAATCACTATGTCCGTTAAAGCTTTATACATTACATGTTCATATATACCTCCTATGTCTGAACCGCCTACATATTGGCAGCATTTGTCCGCCATTCGATACGTCTCTAATCTTATGACGGATCGTGACCAACTCGTAGCGGTGGGCGACTTTAATATCCCAGAATTAA